GTAAAAATTTTTGCATTAACTTTATAATTAGAGTAATTCTTTCAGAAAAAATCTAAAAAATCTGAAAAAAATATATAATAAACTACAATTAATAAATTTTATTTTAATATAAAAATAAAAATTATTTTTTATTAAAATTATAAATTTTAATATAAAGAGAAAATTTCAATTTTCACTATATTTTATTAGTAAATTTAGTCACTGAGTCATTACTTTTGATTGCCACTGTATATTAAAATTATTAAATATTTATTTATTTTTATATAAATAATTTTTCTTTATTATTTTAATTAATAATTAAGATTAATATTAAAAGATTATTTATATTTAATTATATAATTTTAAATATAATTAATATATTAATTATAATAAAAATATAATTAAAAAAAATAATATATTTTAAAATATTAAATTTTATTTTAAATAATATAAGTTTATTAAAAATATTATATTTTAATTTTAAATTTATATTTAATATTTTTATCTAATAAAAATACTAATTATTATAATTAATAAAATAAATTTTTATTTTATTTTTAAGCTTATTTTTTAATATTATTTCTGAAATAAAATTTTTAATTAATTTATTTTTTTTTAAAATTTAAATAAATAAATAAATAAAATTTATTAATTATAAAATTATTATAAAATATATTTATCAAATTTATTTTTTCTTATATTAAAATTTATAATTTTATTAAAAAGTAATTTTGTTTTATATAAAGTAAAATTTATAATTTATAGTTTAATATATATTTTTTCAAGATTTTAGATTTTTTAAAATTATTCTAATTATATAATTAATATGAAAACAGAACTTATAAAATTGATCTGTTAATTTCTAAATTTAGCAAATATACTTTGCTAGTTTTACTAGTATAATTTATTAATATAATTTACTGATTTTGTCAATTAAGAATTAAGAATTATTTATTTAAATTTTATATTAAAAATATTTTGATGCCAACTACACTAGGTATATAATTCTAAATAAGATTTCTTTATTGGTTCTTATTAGTAATTTTTCATGGAACGATAATAGAATTATATTGTGGATTTTACATTTATTAAATTAAGAAAAACAATTGTATTTATCCCACAAATCATAGGTACATACCTCTATTTGTCGCATCAAATATAATAATTTGTTATAGGATGACTTGAAATTTATAATTAAGAACTAAACAGTCACAGTCCTAATCTTTGTATAGCAGTTCACCAACGTAAAATTATAATAGAATAATAGCAAAATATTACTTTAGTAGAACTCTAGTAATTTTCGTCAAAAGTTTCTGCCAATCTCGCTTGAAGCCTCCTCACACGTTCACGCAATTCCTCGCGAATCTCCCATATCTCATCGTTAGACGGAAGAATACCCCGCGACAATTGCCTAGCATTCGGCAATTCTACCTCCAATTTCTTGACCAACGCATTCCAAGAACGTTCCGTAAAAGGTTTCGGCACGTCAACAACACGTCGATAAGATGGGCACCGTTTAAGCAAATACTCTGTTTGACCGATTGATGTCTTGCTGTTGCGTAATTCTTTAGCGAGTTCCTTGATTTTTGCCGAGATGATTTTGTAGCGGCGACCTCGTTCTATCATTATAAGAATTTTTTGGTTAGTTTGGGTGTCTTTGGCGCGTTCTCGGGCATCTTGAAGGAATGCGAGAATCTCTGCATTTTTCTGCGTGACCCATGCTTCTTTGTCAGGCGCTACCAAGTATTCCTCGTGTACGCGTTGTATATCTGATTGCAAAAATATTTTTCCGTCGTATTTAGGTGTGTTGCAACGGAGCAAGTAAGGAAGACCAAAGATAATATCTTGGGGAACATTCATCCTTTTCAATTTTGAAGAGAGGTGATAATCCCTTCGCAATCCAGGAAATGTAATTAATTAGTTGGCGACTTCATAAAAATGAAATCATGCGTCTATCACTATTTACCGAATAGTAATTTTTTCCAGGCATCCGGTACAACAACGAATTTGAAATTCCCAATATATAGTAAGTCCATCTTCCTTATCACAAAACATACAACCTTTCTCCATTACAAGTCTCAAATATTCCAACTCTGCCAGTCCAGTCGGCGGTGCCATATTCGGATACCGTAAAAAAGTAGTTCGGGAAACACGCCAAATCGATTCAGTTACCGCCGAAGTTGTCGACCAAAGAAATCCTCTAAAGCGTCTACATACTCGAGAAAGAGTAAATAATTCGGCGGGTGGAAGATATGCACAAATCACGGCAAAGATCTCGGGAGGAATAGTGAGGAAAAGCGAAATTGTTGGCCCTTCCTCCTCCTCCTCTTCTTCTGTATCATCATAATAATGATCAATAATTTTATTGTTTTTTTGGGAACCTTTGCTACGTTTGAGACCCCGACGTTGTGTGATTGTGGTTTTCTTTATTATGAGGTAAATATATATAAGCATTTGTAAACTGAGAGCTAATCACGTCATATATTTCATGAAAAGAACAAAAGAGGCTCACTTTGGGCGAAGAACCTTTTTTCACAAACATAGCAGTCGAATTTGCCTTTCGTCGGGTGCTTCGAAGCAGCACAGTTGAATGGTCTCTTAGTTTCCATTGTATCGAAACAGAGGATTGTCCTCTCTTTCTTATTGAGTTTCTCAATTGTCTAGTTGGCTGTGCCTGCATTCGATTTATCAACTTTTTTTAATACGGCACGGGAAATAATTAACCTAAAACGAACGAACCACAAATAATAATAATAATAATAATAATAGATATATATTAATTTATACATTTGGTGTAAAAAAAGTGACGTAATCTTTTTTTTAAATTTTTTACTTCCTTTTGTGTAATAGCATGGCACTTGCTCCTTCCCCACAAATTCCAGCTTCGCGACCTGAGATTATTCAGTCGTTAATAGATGGCGTTGACCGTTATAATCCGGATAACGTCTCTATATTGGAAGAATATCTTACAACACAGCTGCAGAACGAAGAATATGATTTGATGGCAAATTTGGCCATTCTTAAATTGTGAGAATTTTTTTTTACGGAATTAATTTAGATCTGGTTTTTCAAATGAGTTGATGAAGTAAAGTAAAACAATCATATAGAAAGGAACTTAGCTAAAGAAAGCAACAACAAATCTTAGCCAAGTGGTGACGATATTTAACTTGCCCTCACTGATCTTTGAAAAAAATTTACTCCGGATCGAATTATCTTGTATACAATAGGGATTAATCATGGTTTTTATTTTTGATTTTAGATATCAATTCAATCCACATCTAGTTAATGAACAAGTGATTATCAACATTCTGGTTAAAGCTCTGACGGCAATACCGAATCCCGATTTCAATCTGTGTCTATATTTATTACACGAGAATACGGTATTCATTTATTTTCTTATAGAGCTCAATCTATTTACTGTTACGTGAAGATGAATAATACAAATAATAATAAGAATAATAATAACACTAATCATAATCATAATGGATAAAAAAAGTTTGAAGATGAACAGATTCGTAAACTAATAATGCTTCAACAACTACTGGAACAATCTCGCTACGAACAATTCTGGGAAGAATATGAGAAAGATGAAACGTATCGCGAGTTGACTAGTGATGCTGTTGGATTTGAGAATGCTATTAGAAAAGGTGAAAAATTGCATTTTTTATCAATGATATATGTCTATTGCTAACGCGTGGCATATTTTGAAAATGTCAAAAATAAAAAATAGTAATTGCTACGGCAATCGCCATATCTTATCAAAGCATCTCCGCAGACTTATTACAGGCTTATTTCAATTTGGGTTCTGCTGCGGGTGAAGCAGGTAAGAAACCTATCAAAATTTTAAAATAAGCATGAATCTTCATTTATTCCGAATAAATATCCCTTCGTAGATGAAGAATTTCTAGCGTTCATCAAATCGCTTGGATGGACAGAATCAAACAATGTTGTACATATACCGGTGAATAAAGATAACGAGGCGAAACCCACTGTGATACGAGAAAATATAAAATTTGAGCGTAAGTCTTTTTTCCTTTTTATAATTTACATATGACCAACCGACCGATTTGATATATTTGTGTTTTTTAGAATTAACTAAAGTTATTGGTTACTCAAATGAGTTATGAACAAGTTGTAATAGGTAAGTCATCATCAATCAATCAACCAAACACTTGCTACTAATTTTACACTTTAAGGCGTTGACAGAATTTAGTTGTACGCGTCCATTTATTTATTATCTTTACAAAAAAATATTCTGAATTAAACTTTATCAGAATGTGTGCATTGACTAAGATGTCGGTCATTTTTCTATAATTTTCATCCATCCATACGTAAATAATATATAATGTACATTGATTTATTTATTATTAATGATCTTAATAACACGTATAGTTTATAGAAGCAACTATTATATTATAATAAATTAAAATAATAATAATTAATATTATATAATAATAATATACTATGTATATATATATATATTTTAACTTCTCTTTCTTCGTTTTTGGTCTTCTTTCTCTTCAGCATTCCTAGTTAACGCGATCAAGACTCTGACGAAGATACCAACAAGATCAATGAAGAGATCTAACGAGTGACCTACTACGTCTCTCGATCCGAGTTTCGAAGCTCGATATAAAATTAGTTGTGTATCATAAAGAACTAGATAATAAAATGAAAAAGATTTAATCATTTAAAGAATGCGATATCAAGTCTAGAAAGAAGCAATAAACAGAAAAGTCACTCACCATAACCACAAAACATAAATAATCCAAGATACAGTTCCATTGAGAACAAGATTTTCGATCTTAAAAACAAGTTTAAGATCGAAACACATCCCAGGATAGAGAGTGCCGACCCTAAGATTCCGCCCAAGTAAATATACTCTCTTCTTTTGCTGAATAAGGCGCTTAACGTGAAACTAACGAATATTAGGCTTGTGGCTATACAAGCTTTCACAATCAATGATCCACTGTATCCGAAATCCATCAAATGCTTGTTAGTAAAAAGATTCAAGAATCGATTTCAAACAAAATATTTTCTTCATGAAGATACTTACGAATAATCAACATGTAGTGTGTATTGTATAAGTGGTCCAATAGAGAGTCCTTCCATAAAGGCGAAATTCTAAACATGAAAAAAATTATTAAGAATAATTAATTAATATATAAATATATATATGTATGTATGTATGTATGTATGTATGATACAAATAAATCAGATAAAACTTACATATAAGAGTCCATATCTGAGGTACTTATTTTCCGGTGTATCAGGCAATCCCACAACACCGATAACCGAGAAAAGACCGATCAAAAATGAAAGAAAGCCGCCCTAAATATTATTTCATTCAGCCAAAGATTAGAACGAACCACGCTTACAAAAACTGGAAACAAGCTTTCAACCCAGCAAAATAAACTCACCCCAAACAAGAACAATTGATTAACGTGGAGGTAAGCGCCAACAGCCAAGCAGGCAGCAAGACCCGCCAAGGTAATATAAACACGAACTAAATGTTGTTGTACCGGTTTCGAGAGTTCTTGTAATGTTATAGCAGCTTTGAAAGTCGAGGTAAAGTCACTAGGACCGTTAGATGTTTGAAAGAAGCTAGACATCTCTTTTTTTTCCGTCAGTTCGTTATTATTTTTGATAAGATGGACGGTAAATAAAACAATCACCGGAGAAAATTAAGGAAATGCGTGTTACTTTTATAGTTTTTAAAACAATCACCGGAGAGATTAAGGAAATGCGTGTTACTTTTATAGTTTTTTGTTTGTGTTTATAAGAATGTTCTAGTAATTTCTTACCCAATAACTATTAAACATGTTCATTTCATGCCGATCTTCGTCCTCGTCAAAGATATGGATAACACGTCAAATGCGTGATAAATATAAAAAGAAAGCTGTGGCGCATAATTACCGTAATTTTTACAAATGACATATGACAACTACTTATTTATTTCAAAAACTATAAATTTGATCCATTTAAATTTAATTTGACAAAAAAAGGATCCCGAAGTGTTTACAAGCTGATTGAACTCGATCAAAAATACAAATTGTTAAAACCCGGGAATGTAGTTATCGATTGTGGCGCAGCACCTGGTGGTTGGAGTCAATACATTGCACAAAAAGTGTTCCTTGATAACATAGAAGAAAAAAATTCATCTGTCGCAGATGATGACGATGATGAACTTATGATCACTAATGGAAAGGAAAAACAAGCGGAGCAAGAAAAAGCAAGAAGTGGTCTTGTAATTGCAATCGATCTGTTACCTATTTTGCCTATCCATGGAGTAAATGTTATCCAAGGAGATTTCACGCACGCACCCATTCAAAAGAAATTACGGGATTTATTAAAGGATAGGAAAGCAGATATGGTGGTTAGTGATATGGCGCCTAATTTTTCGGGACAACATTTAACGGATCATGTCAAATCTATGGTAATATCAATGAAATTATCTTGAACATAATACTAATATTATTTATTAGGTGATATAATGTAAGTTGATCTTGATCTTTAAGGATTTATGCGAGGCTGCATTATCACTATCTGACCAAATCTTGAAATCTGAAGGCAGTTTTTTGTGCAAGGTACAATTATTTTTTTTTATTATTTCATGCAAACAAATTATTTAGCATTGATAATTAGTGATCTTGTGACTGATGATACATGAAAATCGTAGTTTTTGATGGGTGGCACGGAAGAAGAATTCAAGAAACAACTACAAGAGAGATTCAAACAAGTTCGATACGAGAAACCGGATGCATCGCGCGCGAAGTCAACGGAGGGATATTATATGTGTTTGGGGTACAAGAGCAATAAAAACGATTGATCTGTAACTTAACGTTAATACATATTAAATCAAAAAGAGTAGATTTTAGTTTACCACAATGTTAATGTTGTTAACATTCCTGATAAAAATTCTTGTTAATTCTTGATGTGAATATCGTAATTTTTAAGGGTAACCAATCAAATCGCAAGATCAATGTGTAACGGAAAAATTCAAATACCTTGTATCTCGAAATTTTGCCTATGAAATTATTTTCTTCTGTTTAACAAAAAATGTTTCTTGCGAAATTTTACTTTATACCTTTTAATAATATAATCTTAACTTTGACTCTAATCCTAACCCTAATCCTAACCTTAATCGAAATATTTTTAATATCAGTATTCGCAGGGCATGAGAAATTAATTGATCAACTCTTATTCCCTGATTCATTTGCCGATCATTCGTGTACGCCCTGTATTTGTTACGTCACGCGAAAATAGGAAATAGATCGCGCAAGACGTGTTCTCGATTCACATTTCAAGTATAAAAGCGCACTCATCATCCCAAGCCCAACAACGATTTACCTAAAACAAACATCACTTTCAAAGGTAAAATTTTAGAATACCAGTTAAATTCTAATAAAAATCATTTTAAAATTATCGTTTGTTGGACGCTTCTTGCTTTAACTTCTCACTTAATCATTCTTTTGACCATTCTTTTGGATTTTCATAATTCCTCGTTATAAATCTATAATAATTTACACGACAGAAAGAAGATCTTTCATAATGAGTGACGCGCTTTTTCCAATTTTCGACATTTCGACCTTTTTCGACTTTGCGCAAATAGAGGACCCTCATTGCGTGGAACTAACAACGGCAACGGGAGGAGCAGCGACAACACCATCATCGCAAAGCATGTCCATTTTACTTTCCAACAGCAGTAGCAACAACACCACGAAACCTGAAAGTTGCACCACCAACTCATCCATAGTCACGGATAAACCCGACACTAATCTAGGACTAAAAGCAACCGAGGAATTAGCTTTGACGTTGACATTAGCAGCAACAGATGCTACCGCGGATAGTAAGAGCAAACACAATAACGCCAAGAATAAGAAGAATAACAATAATAGTGAGAATAATAATAATAATAATAATAAAAAAGCTGATGAAATGGAACTTGACGAATTTCTCAAAGAAGCGATTGCCTCAACATTTCTAGGATGTTCGGAAAATGATTATTACAGTGGAATGATATTTGCAAACGAATTTTTTCCTTCGGAAGATATTATATACGCGACTCCCTTTTTTACCACATCTGCGAATGATAGTGGCGATGACACGTCAACATCTCTTGATAATGACATTAATAATAATAACCTCGCATCAAATTCGTTCACTTCAACAACTAAAACATCCCTAAATAATATTACATCAAGCGTTTCAACTTTTCTTGATAATACTCTCGACACTACTGCCATATCCACTACGCCTATTCAAGTAACACCAACTAAAGAGACCACCACCACGACGACCACCACATCTATCGAAATGGGGAATAATAAGTCATCACCATGTTCTACTCCAAAGGCAAAGACACCCCAGAAAACTCATGCGGGATTATCATCACTTCCATTTTATGAACAAGAAAATATGTGTTCACCACCTCCAATCAAAAAAAGTCATCGTCACCATCATTATTATAATCATCATCACAATTATACGCCATCACGAAATCGCGGGCATACAAAACACGTTGACACACTAACGGATGTGTTGAATGATTCGACAAGCATAACACAGAATCTGATGAATGGTAAATTAACGATGGAAGAAGTTTTGAACAATAAACAGCAGCGAAAGAAAAAGGTAATTAACATTATTATATTCATTCGCCTGAAATAATTTTATTTAATAAACAATTTATCGTTACTATTTAGCAAAAGACGTCAACAACGTCATCATCATCATCTTCATCATCATCAAGTAACTCGAAGCTCCTCAATGTATTATTAAACGTCTCTAATACAAGTTCCAATCCCACTTTGACCACCAATAACGTCACCACCGATTCCACCACCACCACCACCACCACCATTAACACCATTAACACCATTAACACCCCTAACGACGACAACTGCACATCGCCATCCGCTACAGCAACAATAACTAGAAAGCGACCATTAGTGGAATATGATCGTCAAACCAAACCTCCTTATTCCTATGCTGCTCTTATAGGACAGGCAATTCTCCAGTCACCAAGTAGGAAGATGACATTAAATGAAATCTATACATGGATAACAGAAAATTATCCTTATTATCAACGAGAAGAAAAATCTGGTAGTGGTTGGGAGGTATTTTTTAATAATAGTTTTATCATATTATACTTGTCATTTTTTTGTCTTATAATAATATGTGGTAATCGTTTAGAATTCGATCCGACATAATCTATCGCTTAATAAAGCATTCAAAAGGTTGCCACGAACTGAAGGACAACCAGGAAAAGGATGCTATTGGACGATTCTCCCCGAACAGGAATCCACTATCAAAAACAGTTCCTTCAAAGAACGTAGATCTAGCAAAAAATTCAAGGCGTCGCCTGCAAAATCAAACACGACTGTAAAGGTCGAAAATAATAATGGAGTTGTTGATTCGAATTCCTCAATAGTCCCTCACTCACAATTAAAGGAGGAAGTATATCCGATTCCAGTTGTCTCTTTTGGTCAATCTGGTGATGTCTTGATCCAGATGGCAGCCGAAGCGATGGTCGAAATGCAAAACCATGACATTAAAGTTGAAATGATTGATTTCACAAAAGCAGACGAAAATGAAGTTGCTCATAGTGCAATTGGTGTTAAGACAGAACATGTGACAACACCTCGTACAAAAAAGCAAGCATCCGATTTAAACGAGAGCAAAAAGGATGATGTAGATGAGGGTTACGTTGATACTGAAATTCAAGCAGAATCTAAAGCAACAAAAACAACTAAAAACACACCTGCCACACTTGAACACATCCTTAAGTCGTCTCTTAAGGAATTCGTGTCACCTGTTGAAGTGCTTTTGCAACCATTGGTTCCTGCATGTGATCTTCGAAAAGTGAATTAGTAATAATATTGAAATGAATGAGAATAATATTCATCAGATTATGTATACGTAAAATGTATTAATTCATAATTAGGTACATGGTTTTAATAATAATAATAATATTATTATTATTAGTAACAATAAAGAAAAAAAAACCAAAATTTTCTACAACATAAATATGAATTTATCCACTGATTAAATGATTTTTGATTTTCTTTTTATTACTTAATCTTCAACTTCTAATACTTTGGTAGCTTCTTCACTTTCTGTTTCCTCATCTTCCTCATCTTCTTCGTCTTCGTCCCACGCGTCATCGTAATTTGGATTTCTCACCAACATCTCATCATCATAACTGCTGACTTGAAATAATTAAAAGAAGTTGATTAATTTTAATCGAGAAACCAATCCCTGGCTATGAATAAATAATACCTTTATCATGTCTATTAGCGTATTCTTTCTGTATATCTTCGAGCCACTCATTTTGAACTCTTACAACATCGGCGGAATCGTTGCACGCAGCATATTTATTCAAGATGGACCTATTCATTTCTCATCATTCATTATAAATCTTCCATTATAAAACAAGAAAATCTTAAATTTGATAACATACTCGTTGATTTCGAGAAACGTATGACCCCATTTAAATTTCGAAAGCACAGATTTAGCGTATTCAGAAAAACCTATTAAAAATTTTATTTTTCCGTTAAATACATATATATATATATATATATAACAGTAGATCATCAAATATAAAAATTTTTCACAAATCATATCAACCAACTATATAAAAACACGCAGCGAACGCTTCCACGCAGTTAAGCTTCCATGGACGACCATAATTTACCGGGTTAGCAGCAACCAGATAAGGCACTAATTTGTATATATATCATTGTTTTAAAAAAAGAAATGTGTTAAATTCACTCGGCACTTCACTATTCTTTCATAAATCGTCACTACAACTCACGCAATCGGTTATTTGTAGATTTAAGTTTCTCAAATGGCACCTTATCCAATTTCGCCCATGAGCAATCCACCACTGCCAGACCGTGTTCTTGAACAATTGCCCTATCCGCGGGCGAGACTGCTTGTTCGCCATTTGGACTATATATGTTGTATATAATAATTAAACCCATCATAATTATAAATATGGAATTACATGATAGTAATCGATTTTACAATCAATGTATAGTCGGCAAGTAAAGTCGTACCTTAGCGAAATCCCACGAAAGCGAGAGGAAACTTTGAGAATTTTTACAATTCCTAATCTCGAAAGTTTTTTACCAGAACATCGTTTGGGATCGCAGTGATCAAAATCCTATTTACATTTTTTTTTTTTTTAATAAATTACCGCGTAAATTAATATAATTTCAGACACTTTTGTTGCATACCCACATTCCCAAAAACATTGGAAATCCGTTATCATCATTATGGTGCTGGGAAGAGGACTCCAATTCTATCAAAGAAAAAGGTCATTGAATGATGCAAACAAACCCTCAGTACATAACTTCAAATAGGATCTTTAGATACGATAACGTCAGCTAACCATTTATATTTTCTTGCTCCCATTCAAGTTCTTCACTAAGAATAGCCAAAAAAATAAACGTCACCAATGTCTATAACAACCCGCATTCGAAATCAACTTTTTTTTAGAAAGTAAAGCAGCTATCAATTCCACTACCCATTGTGCACCGGAAATAGGTTTTTGTTAGATTTTGCAACGCCATAGTTCGTTACGTTACTCCGTCGTTTTTTATGGTTGTAGGTTGATTTTAATTTGTTTTTTCCCATTTTGAGTAAAGTTAAAAAAAGAAGGCGGGAAATAATTTTATAAAAATTGACGATCATGTGATTATGTGAGCAAAAGCATTCATGGTTTTTTGCATTGCGCTAATTCAAATCACTACAAATATTTTTTTCTAAACTTTGTCGAAATCTACAGCTGTATTTTTGAAATTTCCAGCATCAACCTCATCAGTGGCGATATCAGTCTTTTGGGGGGAATCATCTTTAGTAAAAAATCCTTTCCATATCAATCGTTGATTTAGTGGTATCTTGTCGATATTCGTGGCAATTTTTCTTCCTATTCGATTTATTTTAATTTATTTCATTATTCAGCCAGAATAACATTTATTCAATAAATAAATAAATAAATAAATTAACTAACCATTCAGAGGATCCGCCCTTCGAACTCTAATCGGATCATCGTAAAAGTCTACAGGGTAAAATTCATTGCTTAGTAATTCTTCAGCGACTGCGTCATCTTTGTATGTTATGAAGCCGTATCTTTGATATCTTTTTGACTCAGGACTCTATCATAAGGATAACATAATTCGTAACGTATTTGCATAACGAACGCGCAAATGAGGATATATCCACCAAAACGAGAAAGAAGCACACACGATTATAATTATCTAACCCACCCTTCCCATAAGGTAAGTACTCAGCGCTCCTCTTTGTGCAAACCACTTAAATATGCGTCTAATTTCACTTTGATTCTTTGGCGTCACCGGTACATGAAAATATATTCTTAATGTTCTTAAGGGATTCATTTTTTTCTTTGAAATCATCATCTCATGTGCGCTATATTTATGTTTATTGAAGTCACGTGTATCCTAAATTTAAGCATCGCGAATGTGTACGCGTTTTTTAAATATATTATTATAAAGAACTAAGAATGGAGGAATTGGACGAATATCTTAAGCCAAGCCGGAAAGGGGAGGATGAAGAAGAGGAGGACAAAGAGAACAGAGAGAATGGGTATACAATAAATATTTTTCGTGAATTTTTTGTGTTGGTTTATTCTAATTTTCATAAATATATATAACTAACATATGTATGTGGTAGCAATGCGCATGTCATAGGGGATGGTTTACAAAACACAATTGAATACATAAATCAACAATTGGATATACATGGTTTCCCGTCTCCACTGAAGTTTTTCGAAAACACTCGTGAAAATGTGACGCAGGTTATCCATTGTATTCTCAGAATGCTACAAGAACGACAGGTCTGTTGTAATTAATTGGTTGTTTGCACCACTCGTCATCTTGTTACATTGATGTTGATTCTGATTCTATTAACCAAAAGAAAGATTCTGGATATCGGGAAGAATTGAATGATCAGTATCGTCGACTTCTGAGCGATCATGAAATGCTCTCAACAAACATGGTAAAGATTATTTTTCAAGGTCAATGGTAATTTTTAATGAAAAATGTTGGTTTATTCTTTAATGATCCTCATTTAGAAAAATTTAAAAACGCGGTTGGAATTAAGTGAGCGGGAGGTTGATTCTTTAAAATCAAAATTACAGTAAGTAAACGAACATTGATTAAAATTATGTAATTACGTCATTCCATCTTTCACCGTTATTTTGTGTTAAAAGGTGGACCGAAGATAAACGTCGAATAGAGGCGACGAAAAATCGATTATTAAATGATGATCTAACAAAAACCAAGTTACAATGTCAATACACCAAAACTCAAACCGCGGTAAATAAAAATAGTAAAGAAAGAGACAACCACTGATCCGGTGTATCACTATCATCGACCAATGTTACGAGTACTTTTTTTATTTATTCGAAATTTCATTCGTATATTTTTCAAACAATAATAGCATGAAGTTCGAAAACGCGAAGCAGAATACCAAAGATTCAAAGAACAA